TTCTATAAAATTCTAAATGATAAATTTAACATGACCATAAAACAGATTAGTTGTTTACATTTTCCTGCATCCTCTGGGTAAGACTTCCATTTGTGGTCATATCAACAAAGCACATTAACAACATTAGAGAGTCATTGGGAGCCACTACTGATGGGCAGCACTAAGGATGTTGCCATGAGATGAGTAATGAGGTAATCAGCATTAAATTAATGGCATTAGGGAACTGCAGAGGCAAGAAGATCTATACTGTTTCAATTAAAAACGTTCCAAAAATTTTTTTTTTCCAAAGAGCCAAAGCATTGTGAATAATAACAGTGTTGCTACCTTTCCTTTGCAGTGGGATATATGAAATTAGCCAGGAATGGTATCTTTAACCATCAATACCACAAAGAAATGGGTCCTGGAAACCAAGAAAATTTTTCTTGTGCACTGATTAGACATCTATGTTATTACCTTTTTCTTGCCCCAAAACTTATCAGTACATCACTACACATGGGCCCATGATTTTTGTTAATTACTTTTATAATCAAATTGTTGCTATGGATAGCCTCTACATTACCCACCCTAAAATATTCCCCCCAGGACCTTGTACATCCCAGAGGCAACTCTGGACAGAAGACAGCATTACTATAGCATCCATGGTTATATCTCTCTTCCATTCAAGAGATTCTGAACAAATCTTGTCCTCCCACTTTATATTTCCAGACAAAGGCTCTGGTTGTGTTAGCTTGGGTCAGATTCAATCAGCCATGTCGGGTGTAATATACAACCCTGACTGCTAGGAGGCATCCCTGTGGGAAAAGGGTAGCATCAGAGAAAAGGAAAAGCAGTTCGTTCCTGTATTAGTTTTCCAGTGCTGTGTAACAAATTACCACAAGCTTAGCAGCTTAAAGCAACGCTTTTTTATTATCTCTCAGTTTCTGTGGGTCAGAAGTCTGAGCATGGCTTATTTTCTGCTTAGGGTCTCACCAGACAGCAATCCAGGTATTGGCTGGGGTTGCAATTCCATCTGAGGCTCAGGGTCATCTTTCAAGCTCATTCAGATTTTTGATAGAATTTAGTTCCTTGCAGTTGGAGAATTGAGGTCCCTGTTTTCTTGCCAGATGTCAGCCCAGGTTTCTCTCATTTCCTAGAGACTGCCCTCGGGTTCTAATCACATGGCCCTCTCACAGCAACAAGTTTACTTCTCCAAATTCTGCAGAAGAATTTCTCTACAATTTTTTCCTGCTGCTGCTGCTGCTGCTACCATTACTATTGCTGCTACCACCACCACCACCACCACCACCATGAGAGTAATCCTATCTAATAATAGACAAATATGGTAATTAGCCATACCTCTGAC